GAACAGAGCAAACCAAGCAGAAATGAAGATAATTATTGTTTGTTGTTTATCAGTAGCTTTATTAGCTACATTGATCACCAGTGTTCCAGTCAATAATGCTGAAATTGAACAACAATCACGAGGTGACGTTACTGATTTTATCTATGAAAATTTATTGTCAAATTTATTTACTGGATTTGTTCAAACAACTATGTCATCATTATCTTCATTTATAAACAATATAATACAAACAAACCCACTTGGTCTTGGAAAACGTTCGACTGATGAACAATTGAGAATTGATATTGGCACATTTTTATATGACAATGTTCTTGCCAATTTATTTTCAGGATTAGTTAATAACGCATTTGGTTCAATAGCAGGAGTATTAAATAATTTGATCACAACAAATCCGTTAGGAGTTGGAAAACGAGCAATCAGTATTTGGGATTTTCTCTACGATAATATTGCTGCACCATTATTCACGGGTTTAGTTTCAAACACTGCCGATCTTCTACAAAATACTTTAGTCAATTTAATTACATCAAACCCATTAGGAGTGGGACGTCGCTCACTAAATAGTGCCCAACAAATTGTTGAACAATCAATTGCTAAACTCGTTGCACAATTTAAATTATTTGCAGATGAAGCATTATCAGCACTAGCCAATAATGACAAACAAAAAGTACAGGCATTAGTAAAATCAATGATCAATTATGTCAAAGTCAATGTTGCACAATTATCTCAACAATTAGGAAACGAATTAATGGGTGCCATTCCAAGTGATGTTGTAGAAAAAATTGATCAAGTATTGGAAGTATTACGTACAGTGTTCATCATGTTCTCAAGCAGTCTTGGTTCACTTGGCCCTGTCATCGGTCCATTTCCACAATAGATACAGAACGATAAAAGACCTCTATTGTATTTTAAAATTTTATGTTTCTGTATGAACAACATGTCCGAATAAAGTTAAAGATGAAAAATAATTGATAAAAATATTATCGAGTTTTATTATAGAGAAATCCAGTATACGTGTAATTTCTGCAAGGCGCCTGTAATTCAAAATGTAGATCTATCAACTGTAGTTGGTTAAAAGACAAACTCTCGAATCTTACGTCATTCGAACGGTCACACGACCAGAAAAAAATCTATGTGGGCTTTTGTTTTTTGCGTTCCTAAAGAAAATCACATTTCTTTGAAACGCTACACAATCCTTCAGATCATCCTTAGGTAAATCAGACAACTTTTGTGTTCCAAGCATGAAAATGTGGATTTCTACGTAAAAGACCATGGTGAACTCGATGGGCATATATACGAGATCTCTAGAGGATTTCTAGAGGGTCTGCAGAAAGGTTTAGAGTTTTCTAGGTAGGTTTTGCAAAAAAACAGAACTCTGAGAAACCTTCAAGAGCCTTTTGCAAATCTTATAATGCAACAGATGAAAAGTTATTATCAACAAACCCAAGAATTAAGAAAGTTTATTATTAATACTATGGTATTTCTCTTTTACTCGCTACTAGACATGCACCACTATTTACTGATATATTTTACTCTTTTTCTCAATCAGATTGGTTGTAAAGTACAATATATATTTAAGTTGTTTGATCGCTTAGTTTTGAAGAATAAACGTTGTTTTATAGAATGAGACATAGCAGAACTCTTCATCGCTTTTCTTTCTGCCACAATTACGTCTTGACTAAGACGCACAAATCGGGGTTAGTATTGGTCATGGGGCGTTTAATAAACTTTTTATCTAACTCAGTGTATAGAGAAATGTTTGCTGTATAAGATTCAGTGGTCAAACATATTCTAAATCATTATTTTGAGTTACAAAAACCTTTTTATGAAAAAAGGACACAATTGCAATCGATAAACATCAGTAAATGCCCAGTCATCACTACTTTCCGTTCAAAAAAACGAACGGACTCTGTTGTTTCCCAAGAATCAGAAGTGACAGGAAGTCACGATTTCCAGTTTTATAAAACTGGAATTTACATTTTATTCTATCTTCTGATCCGTAGGAGCTTTAAAAACCCGTGTTTTCACCTGTAACACCTGACACATTTTTATAAGAAGTTTTGACTACCGTCAAATATAAACAAAAAACTGTCTTCTTTCTCTCTGGGATTCTACACAAATGACGTCAACCTATGGGACGGAACGAAGTTGAAAAGTTGCGTGGAGGACGGGAGAAGGCCGCGTCAGATGAGATCAACGTTCATCACTAACATTTAACGAAGTTGATGCTCTAGGCAGTATGAACTGGCAGAAACCTGACCAATCGTAACTATTTGCATGTGGTTGTGACAAACGAATAAATAAGTAGAACGTTACCAGTAGTTATCTGCCAATAACAAGTAACTTCAACATTGGTTAAAAACTAGCTGCCAAGAGAAAAACTGTGGAGAGGATTCAATTGACTGCCGACTACTTTTGAAAACGTTAAAAATTGCTTTGATTATCCTTTTTCGATAAAGTCGGTTTCAAACCATATCCGGAAAATCATCTCTGATACGTAAAATTCTACGCTCTACTTGAATCCGGAGTTTTCTTACGGGAGAAAATGTTTCTGAGACATCTTCAATTCTAGCAAAAAGCAAAACATTTTAAAATCTGAATTTCGACCTAACGAAGACAGACAGTCGCAGTTGCAGTTTCAGTTCCATTGAATCGAGTACAAAAAACTCCGTAGTTTGACCAATCTCCCGTTATATTAAGTCGCGTGTTTTTTTCACTAATTTTTCTTTAAAAACATGAAATTTCACAAAACTATATTTTGAAATAGAATATTTCGCCCACAAAACTACTTTGCTAAGAATAAAAAGTACGTCATCTTATTCAGCTTTTTACGCTCTACTGGCTGAAATACAATCGAGCAGGACGAGAAAAAACATCTGAGTTGTAGTGAAACGCCATTTATCGCCTTCAGAGTAACAAGCTATTTCTTTTAGTCAATGAAAGTGCCCGTTTTTGACGAATACGTATCTTCTTTTTTCCGTTTTTTTCAAATTTCGAGGGCAGCCATTTTTAGTAGTTAACGTCTAATAACGTAAAAAGAAAGAAATCAAAGACTAATTTATACCAAAATAATAAAACAAATATCTAAATGCATAAACGCGAGTTATATAAAATTTTATCGATTTTTATATAAAAGAAAAGTGATAAACATATAACAGAGCCGTATCAGATAAGGAATAGCTCTATCTTTTCATATCTTGGCAAATGTCCATATGTTAGGAAATGTCTATACAGACATGTGCTAACATTTCCGAAGATGTGAAAAGATAGAGATATTCCTTATTTGATACGGCTCTAATAATCAAAGAACAAGCTTTTTCTTATTAGTTTTTTAGCGAAAAAGATACTTATCTTTTTCTCTCAGAAAAGGAGAGGATTGCAAAAATTGATCTGAAAGAGACAGGAAGCAAAAATCACAAAAACATGACTGACGTCATTTGTGTATAGTCCCTCTGTGAAGAAAAGATAATGATGGCAATGGTACATCTGAGTTTTAAAAATTGTTTAGATTTATTCATGTCAACGTATTCGATTAAATTTATGATCTATAAATCATAATTGTAGGCTTTTAGGATGATGACCTTATTAGAAGATTACGTAACGTGAAAATACTAGTGGAAATAAAAACATGTGTCGTTTTCTACAAGTGCACTCAAGAAATAATTTAAATATAGATAACGTATAAAAGTATATTGCACATGTGTTATATTCCTCTGATCAAAATAAGTCAAACACATTTTTTTTAAATTAACCCTCCATACAATGAAAGTTAACTTTCATTGTATGGAGGATTAATTTAAAAAAAAATGTGTTTGACTTATCTTGGTCAGGGGATATATTCAAACAAAAGCAATTTTGCTGATACAATCGTTTTGTATGATTAAAAAAGCGTGTAGAATAACGAATACTTGCCTACTGTTGTTATTAACGACGTAACAAAAAAGAGCGCTTGATCATAATTCCATTGGGTCAAATTATTATATTTGGATAAATGAAACAAATTTAAACGAGATTTATGCAAAAAATAATTGATATAATGTTGTAACTCATCATCTATTAAAAATAAAATCGATGAAATAAATATAGATTTGATTATTCAATACTAAAATACTTACTATTCACACACTTGTTTTTATTTAAAAAATTTTTTATTTTATTTTGCACATGTAAATATTGTTTATTTTCTTCAATAATATTCAGTTCATAAAACACAAGGCCACCAAAGATAAAAAATAATATATAATAGACTAAAAATTGTCTAAATGAAAATTTTGTCATATAAATAGTTGAAGGTGGCTTACATCCTGATATATTTTTTTTGCGTTCTGAAATATTGAAAAACAAATGTGTCTAAGATTTAATAATAAGATACGATATACTGTTAAGAGAGGAAAAGAATATCTTTGTGTAATTATATAGCTAACAAATCCTATTAGCGATTGTTCATAAAATAAAAAAAGAGTTTTATCTGGGCAATTTTACCATTAGTTTGTTTTCACTACTCGACTAATACAATACGAGCAAAGTTTGTCTAACGACCACGATATCGAATAAGTACATACGTACAACGAGATATGAAGAATATAAGTGTAGTTTTAATATTCTTTAATGAAAAATTTAACGATGGTTATAAAAGCTCTTTTTCTTAGCAAATTGCGTCGGATGATTTAAACAAAATTACAGATGTTTTTTTCACGTATAACATTACACTAGCTTAGTGAAACATAGTCATACTTTGAGAAAATTTGTATCAATATACATTTTAAAAGACAAAAAATTTTGAATAGCCTAACAAGGCAAATATCGAAAACTACTTATGCACAAAAATCATTCATAGTATAAAATGCGGAGGATTATCAAAATAAGCGTGTACATATTGCCAAAAAGTGAACTCAATTTTAGTCACAAAAAGAAATAAAATAAATGAAAAAAAGAAAAAAATCTAACAAGTCTGTATAGCACAAAAGTTTTATTCTATCAATATATCGTATCGAGAAAAATGAATAAAATAATAACAAAGAAATATGAGATCTATTCTAAAAAGAAAAACATTTTTTTTATATTGATATATAATGAGAAAAATAAAAGAGATACAAATACAGTAGCACCATTCTTTTTTTAATATGAAAACAAACATTCTACTAAATTTTTATTCACTATGTCCAATAGAGACAGTAGTAGTATTTAAAGTTTGATCACCGGATAATACATTATTTGATTCTTTATCATTTAGTTGTCGTCGATAAACTATATTCGATGAGATCGAAGAGGACGCAGATGGTAATGAATGAATACCATATTGAGGTGAATGGGCAAACCATAATAGACCAGAATGTTCATTACTACTGCGATCATTCTCAACTTCTGTCTCACTAAGAAAATATTGTACCACTCTGAATTCAGGCATTTGAGATACCATTGAGACAAGTAACATCATTATTGTAACACCAACAAGAAGATAAACTAGAAAAAACAAGGAAAATTTTTAAAACGTGAAACCGAACTATTGAAAAGCCATTTAGAAAAACTAAAAATTGTTTTGATTTGAAATCTTTTTTTCATCATCACATTGAACTACGTACACATCTTATTCAAGCATTCATTAACAATTACTTACTTGTAATACATATCTTGTACATGAGTCTATTGTTTTGAACTGGTTTATCACCTAAAATAGAGAGAGAATAATAATAATACTAAATGAACTCAATGTTAACTAACCAGGGACGTAATCTCCAAGACCAATGGTCGTAAGGGAGATAAAACAATAATAAAATGCATCAATTATATTCCAGTCTTGTTCTATATATGAAAATATTAATGATGGTATGATAAACAGAAATAATAACGATATAAATAATATAATAGATAAATGGATATAACGTAAACAAGATTCAGACGTACGATTCGTTGAATAATTTCGACGAAACCATAAATAAGATTTATTTAAAAGTATCAAAATTTTTCGTACAATAATCGTTAGTAAAATGAGTGTCATTGGTACACCAATTATAGCATATACAATACAAAAAATACGACCAATTTCTGACAATGGGGATACATGACCATAACCAATCGTTGTCACAACAGTTACAGCAAAGAAAAATGATTGTGAAAACGACCAATTTGATGTGTTTTGTCGTGCATCAACGCCATGTTTGTTGGCATCAATTAAGGCATCCATAAATATATCAAACTCGTTTTCTAACAAGAGAATAACCACTGTGGATAAAAATAAATTTACATAAAAAACAACATACCTTTAACACATGGAAAATTCTTAAGAAATTCATTTCGTTTTGTGGTCATTTCTTGAATAATTACTTTTTCTGATGGACGTTCAATTGTTGAGAAAATCAGAGCACCAATAAACATATAAAGTAAAAACATGAACATAAATACAAATAAATTTAATGACGTTGTGGACCGATTAAGTAACATTTTCATATAAAATTCAGTTGTTAAATATCAAATGTGTGTATAGTTTATATCAAAGTAACAACACTAAATAAAAAGTAATTTGTTTACAATGTTATTTGGTTAGAGAAAATTGTAGACGAAAGGTTGTTGTTGTATAGTTCAGGCTTGTTCTGCGTTTAACAGACTTATAGCGGATTCTATCAAGACCTAGTTTACGAGTTTCAAAAGACAGACTAGACCTTGAGTCGAAAGGGTTTTTCTAAAGAAAGGAAAATTATGGTGCAAGGAATATATTATACATACCAAAATTATCATTCTTTTCTAACAGATTGTACATGTGTGTTCAGTTATTTATACATGTAATCAGACATTAAGTTGATATAGAAAAGATTATAAATATATATATGTACAAGATATCTAAAACGAGATAAGAACGGTGACTGCAAGATAAATTTAATTTTATTTGTGCGCATAACAACAAGGACTGTTTGAACAACATTACGAGAACACAATGCCTTTAATAATGAGAATACCTTCATAAAACTGAGAATAGATCGAACATATTTTCAGAAAACTCCTAGTCAAAGAATAAGTAAATTTAAAATTGCTGAAGATTTGGAAGATTGTCGCTAGGAACACAATAAATTTGATATTCGTGTAAAATATCCTACTGTAACTTTTATTCGTTGACTTCTAAATCTAGTTTGAATCAAGGAATCGGACTTATTACAGCTTATAAATATACTGGAAGAGAGAGATCAATACACGTGCAGCATCTGGCACGCTGCACAAAAAATAATGTTCTGGTTCTCATTTTTTCAACTCATATTTTAGAGAAAAAATTATTTTTACAAAGGCATAGAATAATTGCCAATCAAACTACGATGTACTCGTGTAAAAAAACAGCTATTCAAGGGTAAGATCCTAAAAGTATAATTTTCTGCCATCATTTTTAGAAAAGGGATTAAAATTTTACAGGATTTTCTTTTTTGTTGTGAGTTGATTTTTTAAACAGTCGTTCGTTCGATCAGTGCAGTCTACGTTCTGATACATGATCATAGAAACCAAAATGGCATAAATAGTATGTCAGAAAAGACATATACAAATAAAAAATCTCGATATTACGATCGCTCATTTTACAACAAATTACAGACATGTTAGATAAACCAGAGAGAGTCATTTCAAAGAAACGAAAAGAGTCATTATTAAAAGACTGTCGATAAAAAACAAAGAAAAATCGAAACTAAGTAGCATAATTCGACAATTAGAATGAAACTTTTTCATGGAAAGTGAATAAACGAATGTAATAAGGGGAGAGTTTCTTACAGTACCGCAGAATCTTCCATAAGTTTAGATGATTCGATGATATTGTGAGAATTTCGCTGGCAATGTATCGATGTGGGATGCCATTATTTTGTCCTTTATATCTTAATTATTTTTTATAGTGAACTTATTACTGACAAAGAATTTTCCTGAAGTTTTCAGAAATTTTAAAAGAGAGCTCATTCTATACCTGCTTTTTACTAACCGTTTCGTTGTGAATGTGGTAAGAGCTTATACACATTTTTCTTTACTGTTTATACAAACAGCCCAAACCAAAAGATGATCTTTAAACGCAGGTTTTTCAAAAATAGCTATACATTTTTCTGTAAAAGCCAATAGAATAATGATATTCAGTTACTGAATCAAATTTATTTTTTATTATTCTCCGTGTACCATTGTGTGCGTACATGTTGTTAAAGAATTAATACACAATATAAATAGAGAACTAGAGAACGGATATGCATAACAATAGCAAAAACAATAGAATTGTGCAAACAGATTTTTTATTGTTCACGCATTTCTCTTAAACGTCGAACAGCAGAGCGTACAGCAGCAGCTGTTGATGTTGAATAAACATATGCACCACCAGCAACCGTTTTTAGACAACTTCGACATTTCCATATCCCCACGCATTTTCGTTTCATGTTATCTTTACCACAAAACGAACACGTATATTTGGAATGTTGTGTAACTTCCATTTTTTTAACCATTTTTCTTAATGATGCTCCATAACTAAAAAGTATAAATTTCACAGAATGAAATGAATAGGCAAGAAAAGTCACACTTACCGTGTACCATATTTTCCGACAATGCCAACTTTTTTTGTTCTTTTAGCCATTTGGAACTTAGTTTTTTCTTAAAAAAAGAATTAAAAAATGATTTTGAGTCCAAAAGACAGATCTAAAATAAAATAACAGCTTTATAGACTGAACGAATAAATCGAACCTCTGATCCCCTTTAGCAGATCACAAAAGGTTTTTTCAGCATATCACAAAAAGTACCACGAGTTTTAAATCATCAAACTTACAAAAATGACTAGCATTCTATTAAAATAGAAAAGAGAGAGCGAAAAAAATTTATCTATACATAGTTTAACACTGTTAAAAACTACACACAAAGAACAAAGCTTATTTTTTCTTTTGTGCCGTTTTAGCCGTAGTTCTCCGTGCTGACAATGGTGTTATTGTCACATCATCAAATGTTATTGTTTGTTGATCAAAACGATATAAATCCTCCGCAAATAATTCTTCGTCTAGTTTTTCATTTTCAGTCGGATAATATGTCGGAAATGGCGGATGATTGTCTTTTGTCAAACTCGCACGATGCTGATATAATGTTGAATCTTGAATACGTAAATAACCATGATTGGGTCCAGGTATGGCAGGACCCATCAGATATAAAACATTTAATTTTGTATTAATACGCCATATTTTGATACCTTTCATCATCACAAGTTTATTACCCATATAACCGGGCATTTTCGTTCCCGGTAGAATTCGATGTTTTCGTCCGCTACCTACACTACCTCGTTTACGGTGAAATTTTGTTGCGCCATGTGATTTTGGACCGCCACGAAAACCATAACGTTTCATCACACCTTGAAAGCCATAATCGATACTACGAGCTTGTACATCAATGAAATCACCACAACGATAATGTGATGCATATAACGGTGTGCCAGGTTTTATGACACTGTTTGGTGTTATGAAAAAACGTGTCAACTTTCGTTTTGGTGGTACACCAGCTTTTTCAAATAAGCCGTTGTATGAACGCGTGAATTTCCTTGGATCAGACGACAAAGCACCAACAACAAGCATGCCAACTTTACCCTGTAATTCTTTTCGTAATGGACGTGTTGTAAATAATGAACGAAAATTAATCATTTCTGGAGGTGTATAATTAACTACATGATTGTCAATTATCTAAACACATAAGGAAGAAAAATATCAATTTTGTTGACTAAGATAACTTAAAACTGATAAAAAAAGTTATGTAGATCGACTATCGGCATTTATTTATTAACAAGATATGTTCATGGTTAATCTGATGCTAATATTTTTGTCGATCTTAGTCCATTTAGATCTAAAAGATGTGGTGTTATAAAATTTCTTCTTAGTGATGTTTGTTCAAACAAAGCTGTAAAACATTTCCAGTAGACCGCATCCATATCATTTATGATTGATCTATCCTTCATGTACACAACAATCTGCTCTGCTGTTTTTTGTCAAATTTGACTATTCCGCTTGCGTCTTCATACCTGAACAAGTGTAACATGAAAACGCTCCCCTTTTTTGTTCCATTGTGGTAATGTACCTAGTTTAATGCCCAGTACACCAGTTCGTATCGTCTCAGGATTTGTTGTATATTCTCCACGTTCCCAAGGTCCATCTTTTAATGGACTTTCTTTTTGAGCATATGTTTCATGTACAACTTCTTGTATAAAAGATAAATTCTCAGGCGTTATCTTTTCATCCCAGCCACCACCTCGACGTTGTACCCACTTGTCGTCATAGAATTTGTACCACCGTAACTTTTTATAACGAACACGCATCTGTTGATCAGTTAATTTATAGATCCGCAGGTTAGCTGATGGAACGTAGTTGTGGTGAGTTGATGGCGATAGAAATACATTCGAATTTGTGTTATTATTGAGAAAAATTAAGGAACGATTGAACGTTAATCGAGTGAGAATTTGCAGTGTACGATTCATCTGAAATATATTTAGAAATATCAGACGGATGCCAGTGTTATAACCAAAGAAAGAACTGGAATATAGCGGCACCTTTGAGGATTTCGAAATGTTTATTGAGAGAAAAAATTCATAGAAACTAAGTACTGACTAATTTTTTCGATTATTATGCTTCTAAAGTCAAGAAACTATCTATTATTATTTCTTTAGCAATGCGAAACAAGTGTAGTCTTCGCAAACAAGCCTCAAAAAGATAATTAATAAATAACAAATGAGTTTAGCTGCAATTAGAAGTCAAACATTTCAGACTCAAAAAATAGCAAATAAGGGAGAGAATGAAACGACATAGAAGAACAGAAAAAAAACGTGACTGATGAGAGGAGAGCCATGGCACTTCATAAACAGGTATAAAAGCTTTTTACCATCCCAACTTACCTCAGACAAAAAACTGATTTTCAGTCGAAGCTCTATTTATCTCAATGGCATAGAATCGTTTTTATTGATAAGCAAGAAAGAAGCTGACTTAGCACATAAGTACAACGAAAAAAAATATTTTATATTAAGATTTTTCCTAATAGGTTAACCCACAATATTGGATAAATTAGATATAAACTAGAATTTCAACTGGTAGTGTCATACAGAAACATTTTCGTAATATCAGAAGCAATCCTTATACAGTCAATAACAGAACGAGCTGATTTGCTTTTGAAAGCTTACAAAAATAAAACCTGCGATTAATTAAATCATCAAAGATTTCATAATTATCCGAAAACTGACAGTATATTGTAGAATTCGATCTCACACTTTAGAAGGCAGGCACAAATAGTGCCTTTCACTCTGGGTTGCCAACTTCAGATCTTCTAAAACGACATGAAGAAGAAGCGATTCTTTTGCTAAATCAAATAGCCACATATCAAACAAATATCTTATTTATGTTCAAATCTACTGTTTTATTCTATTCCTTCAGTAAGAGACAGATCTAAACAGTTTAGTTCATACAAAAAAGCAAAACAAAACAAACTATTTTATTGGGTATTGATTTCATTGGTCTTTCAAACAGATGGATCCAGGATAGTGCGAACTGATAAAAAAGAGAAATGAGGAATATTTCTTGTCTATTGTGAGACGAAAGATTACAATAGACAAACGGTCAAAAGGTGAGACGGTTAGCAATCTTGTTTTCATCACTCCAACGAAGTAGAAGTGCGTTTTCTTGCTCTTAACCTAATGATACTATTGGTATTTCTATTCCAATATAAACGTTACAAAGAAAATGACGGTGACTTATAGAAACTGATAGTTCATATATAGTAAAGTGTCCACAATTTTCTTCTGTAAAAATAGCTCATTGAAAAATAGTCTGATTAAGAAATTTAGAGGGATTTTTATGTGTTCGTTCGAGCATCACTGCAATGTGCATTCAGCTTGTCGACTGAAAGAATAACCAAAGAAAATAAAGTCTAACAGATGATCGAGAAAATCTTAGGGTACTTCTCTCAAAGCACTAAAGAAAAAAGAATCTGTAGTGAATCTGTCTTTTACCGACAAAGATCATTCAAAGGCGAAAACCATTCCTCCAATAGAAATATGATATAGGGAGGCCTACCTGTTTATGTATAATAAGGCGTGTTGGAATAAGTATAAGTGATAATGAATCTATGTTATTCGCAAATTAGTTTAGCAAAATCGTCGATATTGCAATATGCAACTGTTCGCTTGAGAACTATCTAATATTCACTAACCTATATAGGAGAAATATATATTTCCATGCCGAATAGCTTTTTTAATATTGGTTGATAAACAACTGACCAATCTGAAATTTAGTATTCACTAGCGGTAAAATAAGGAAACTGATAGAGTATCAGATTGAGATTGAGATTTTTTGCAACTCAAAACGTTGCGTTGTAAAAGTGAGATGCAAAAACTTTTAGCGCACAGATTTAAAAAGTAATCAGTATTTAAATAACTTTATTTTTGATGAAAAAATACAAAACTTTTCTTGTGGTTCTCGTTCAGAAATTTGGTGAGACAAGCGAAAGTAAAGTGAAAGGTCGTTCATGTTTATACGACTAAGGGATGCCATTGGAGAGGAGATTTTCTAGAAATAGGCCAGAGATATCACTCACGAAAAAGTATCAAAGCATCGAAAATTTTTTAATGTGTTTGATTTACTCTGGCTGACACAGAATACCCTTTATCCCCTTGTTCTCGGATACGGTGACATACTGATATTGATATCGAAACACCTTGATAGCTTTTCTTTTTATCGGAGGTAAAGGACTAAATCTTCTCTTTACTCAAGTCGTATCTCAAGGAATCCGAAAAGTGGAAAATTGCATTACAATTCCAATTCTCACTGGAAATATTGTCGTTCAGTTTCGGTCTTCAATTCACTAATAGTGAGTGAAGGAATTTCAATAAGAGACTCTATTTCTCCGAGTTTTGATCTGTGAAACGTAGTGTGAGCGTTATTCCGCTTGCTTCTTCAAGAGAAAAGGATATGGAAAACCTAAAATTCCCAAATCAGAATTTCATTCTTTTTGACGTTGATTAGAAAAATTCTTTGTAGTATACTCATAGTGATATGACTCGAAAATATCTTCCTTCCTTTGTTCATTTTTCTTTTAGTAAAAGCGTAATATATACACTAAATTTTGCATCACTATCAATGACTAAAGAAACATCCTCTCCAATTCATCATTTAGCTGTGTATGGAACTCTACGAGACGATGATAATTCTGGAGCAGCATGGACTGAGGCATTTGTTAAAGTATGTCGTTTATTATTATGACATCAATATATTGAAATGTTTATTGCCGGTTTTTTTTGGAGGATATCAAATCAGCTATTACTGGAAAAGTACGCGGTGCAAAGATGTACTGGAACACAGATCTCAAGTATCCATTTGTTACCCTCACGGGTACTTTAGTGAAGCGAAGAGTCAACATTTATGTATAATTCTAATAGTTTTGTTTTCAGGCATTCACACTGATTCAATCACTGTACGAGTTCTCGAGTGGTTTTCTGACGAACAGTTTCAAAATAAAATAATTGAAGCAGATAGAATTGAAGGTTATTTTCCCGATCAGCCAGATTTTGATAGTGAATATGTGCGAAAAGTAGTTCAGGTACACATAGATGAAAATTCGGAATCAATTCCAGCATATATTTATGTAACAAGGAAAATTCATCCCGAAGCAAACTGGAAATTTATTTCGAATGGTGATTGGCTAAAACGATAACAAAAAGTCTTGTTGAGGTGTTCTGAACGTATAAAATTTGCGAATAAAATGTTTATATCTACATCTGTAAAAGTTATAATATCATATAATACGTCAGTATGAACAGAATTCCAGTATTCTTCCACTGTTTTTAGAAGAGAGAAAGTCAAAATTTTGCTAAAAAATACATTTTGAAGATTTTAGAAACTTTCTATTCATTGAATATACTGTTCTAAAAGTGGATAAACTTCAAAAATAGCGAAAGATAAAAAAAAGAAATCCACAGACATTAAGCATTTGCAACGGCTTTTTGAGAGACATGTTCTGTATTCTGTTGAAATAAGTCTAATGAGGATGTGATGGAAAGTTACACTTTCATTTTGAAATGAGTTCAACTGTACTAACGAGGGAATCATCTGAGGTGACACCTCCCGTTTTTATTCATTCATATCTCATTTAGTTGAGTATATTGAGATAGTAAAAACCCTAAAGGGGATTTTCCCCAATCTCATTCCTTCAAAAGTTATCGACGTTTTCCTATTTTT